AGTGGCCGTGTCCTGCTCTGTGACAAAACCAAACTGGACTTAGCTGCCTGGACTGGCTATTTCATGTCTTCTGTTGACTGACTCCCTGGAAACTTTGATTTCCCTCAGTAGGCTCTTTGACATCTTAAAAATGAGATTCACTTAATAAATTATAAAAATAATTTAATATAAACAAAAAGACAATTAGGAGACAAAAGTAATAAAGCGAAGGGTTAAAACGGCCGGGTGCCCTGGCGCGCTGCCAAGAACACACCTGGTATCTCGGGAATACCCGTTTTATCCCATCCTTGCTGTGAGGGGTTAATGCATATTCAAGCATGTCCCCTCCCTGGTTCCGCCGTCTTGGATCATGCTCGTCACAGTTTTATTTTCTGCTGGTCAGCATAATTTTTGCTGGTCATCATTATTCTAGCTGGTCAGCATTATTTTGGAGTTTTTCGTTTCCTTTCTTCTGCAGATGGTCACTTGTTGATAACAGTCCGGGCCCCTCATCCTTCCTCTGAGAGCAGATGGGCTTCATATCTTTCCCCCCGCCAATGTCCTGGTACTGGCTTTTTGATAACAGTTTGATCTCCATTTGCTGCTGCTGATAATAGCCTGTTTTACACAGCTTGATCCTCTCATAGTCTTGCCTGTTGGAGTTATCTTGCCTTCTCCAGACGAGACATATCCTTACCATTCAGAATTCCTATCTAAGCCTATAACTTGCTAAGAGAGAAAAGAATATAGTGAAAGCATATAATATATATTTATCAGAATAATTGTGAAAAGCCAATATTTACGACATGAATTCACAACAGACACAAGAGTTGTGGTGAAAGTGCCATGTAGACAAATTTAATAAGTGAAATTTTTAAAACTGGTGATTTGCTTGTTTTATAGTTTACTTACAGAAAATCAAGGGGGAGGCTTTTAACACATTGTAAATTGGGCCACAATTTCCAAAGTCATTACCAAATAATCAACATTAATTAATAAGTTGTTTGATGGTGAAATGTCAAGACAAAAATGCCAATGAGTTTCTGTCTTGGTTTTAGAAGACGTGTCTGCTAGGGAGAGCAGGAGCCTCCCTTGGGATGAAAAAATGTAGACCCCCTCCCTCCAAATTATTATAAATTTGAAATCAAGGGGCTTTCAGGCAGAGATCTGGGGATAGGAATAACAGTTCTTTACTAGTATAACCAGGCAAACAAACAAACAATAACTACAGCAATAACAAGAACACAGAACCAGGGACCCCGGGACAGCCTTCTCGGCTGAGATGGGATGGAGGAGAGGCTTTGTTTTCACAAACCCCTCGGGCAGTCAGTCCCGGTGCTCCTGCAGGGCTCTGAGGAACACTCAGCTGGAACAGCAGGGATGAGCTGAGATCCTGGGCCGGTGGCTGAGGTGGATCAGCAGCTCCGCAGCGGTGGCTGGCACTGCCACACGTCCCGGCAGGACAGGGGGTGCGAGGCCACCAACAAAGAGGGGAGAAGGAGAAGAAGCAGCCGCTCCGTCTGAGTGATGGCGAATTCCCTTCTCTCCACCGCAACAGCTCCGCGACCCAGCAAACTGAACGTCCTTCCCCGAAACCGAAGAAAGACCGCCAAAAACTGTCCCCACCCTCCTTTTC